ACACTCTATTCTCTCATCTTCTTATTCCTATTTTCAAAAAGCACGGTCAACATATCTTACCCCGAGAGTCACCAACCACAAGAATGCGCCCTTTCCTTCATTTAGCAAGGGCAGTAGTTTCCTACCTTCACTGGCCACTGAAGTACATTCATCCTGGAGAACAGGAAGCGATTTCCTACCTTCAGATCTTCACTCTTAACTTTCCTTACTCTGATGCGCCTCCATTACTGTGAACAACTCGCCACTTGTAGCGGTGCTGGGCTGGGACCTCACTGCTGGTACCCGTTGCTACCTCCCCACCTACAGCCTCCTCACAGTGAGAGACAGACTGCACCTCACTGCTAGAAGCCTCATTCCCCACATCTCCAACCACCTCACACACTCTCCCAGGCCCATTGAGGTGGACCTTCAGCCTCCTAATCTCCCCCTGGAGAAGCAAGACCTCCTCCTTCAACTCTCCAAACTCAGTTTTAAACACTGCAGAAGCAAGCCATGCTTTGTAACCGTCCACGCTAATCCCCAAAGCAGCTCAGGGTCTGTGACCTCACGTGACGACTGACCACTGACCACTGACGACTGCATCAGCTGAAGTTGATCTCCCGAGACCAGCCATCAAGCATGCCAGTGTTCACTTGAACACAGTGTTCAAGAAGAGAGCGTGTTGAATGTTCACTTGAACACAGTGTTCAAGAAGAGAACGTTGTTGAATGTTCACTTGAACACAGTGTTCAAGAAGAGAGCGTTGTTGAATGTTCACTTGAACACAGTGTTCAAGAAGAGAGCGTTGTTGAATGTTCACTTGAACACAGTGTTCAAGAAGACAGCGTTGTTGAATGTTCACTTGAACACAGTGTTCAAGAAGAGAAACGTTGTTGAATGTTCAAATTGAACACAGTGTTCAAGAAGACAGCGTTGTTGAATGTTCACTTGAACACAGAGTTCAAGAAGACAGCGTTATATCAGATATGATAAATAAATCTGGATGTAACCATCGTCCATTTGTTAAGTCACTTGTATCAGGTTGATCTATACAGACTGATGGGCTGTATAGCCATTATTTGTAGTTTGTTGAGGTTGAATCAATTTACCTACATAATAATAATAATAATAATAATAATAATAATAATAATAATAATAATAATAATAATAATAATAATAATAATAATAATTATTATTATTATTATTATTTTTTTTTTTATTTAAAGAAGGAAAGACAAATGAAGAAATTTTAAGCCAGAAGCAGGCAGCTTTACCTTCATGTTGAGGTGAACTGTAATAAGGTGGAGAGGAATAACGCAGCAGTAAGTCAGTAAGAAGGTAGTGTGTATGTCACTGAATATAAGTCAAGGAAGAATAATCATGTGATGGATCTAGTGGATAACTCCACAACCTTACAATTCTCTAAGTGGCCTGGTGGCCTGGTGCTTAAGCTTTCGCTTCCCACGGCGAGGGCCTGTGTTCGATTCCCAGCCAGAGTAGAAACATTGGGTGTGTTTCTTTCCACCTGTTGTCTATGTTCCCCATCAGTAAAACGGGTACCAGAGTGTTAGTCGACTGGTGTGGGTCGCATCCTTTGACACTTGACTTAATTTGCCCGAAATGTTCAGCATAACAAGGGGCTTTCTATATAGTAGTATGTCATTGATGTCAGCTAGGACTGTATGCCATGTACATGTACTTGTAGTAAATAAATCTATTATTATTATTATTATTATTATTATTAACCTGAGAATAGCGTTCCGGTACCTCAGTAAGGAATCATCCAAGACTCTATACACTATACACTGTGTACGTCAGACCCATACAGAAGTATGTAGCACCAGTTTGGAACCCGCACCTGGTCAAGCACGTTAAGAAATTAGAGAAAGTGCAAAGGTTTGCGACAAGGTTAGTTCCAGAGCTAAGGGAAATGTCCTATGAAGAAAGGCTAAGGGAAATCGGCCTGACGACACTGAAGGACAGGAGAGTTAGGGGAGACATGATAACGACATACAAAATACTGCGTGGAATAGACAAGGTGGACAGAGACAGGATGTTCCAGAGATGGGACACAGAAACAAGGGGTTACTCTTGGAAGCTGAAGACTCAGATGAGTCACAGGGATGTTAGGAAGTATTTTTTCAGTCATAGAGTCGTCAGGAATTGGAACAGTCTGGCAAGTGATGTAGTGGAGGCAGGAACCATACATAGCTTTAAGACGAGGTATGATAAAGCTCAGGGAGCAGAGAGAGAGAGAGAGGACCTAGTAGCGTTCAGTGAAGAGGCGGGGCCAGGAACTGAGTCTCGACCCCCTGCAGCCACAATTAAGTGAGTACAATTAGGTGAGTACACACACTCCACAACTGACAAATCGTATGGTGATACCCACGAGATGTGGAAAAAGACGCTTATGTACAGTTCAGGACATTTATTAAAGGAAATGTTTCACCAGGAGTGACTTCTTCAGTCCTCATGAAGAATGTAGATAAATGGTTCAGAGAACCGACAAGTTGATCAATTAGACACATGTGCAACACCTGGGAATCTTTATTGAGGAAACACAAAATAAGATACCCAAGTGTTGCACATGTGTCTAATGAAGAAGTCACTCGTGGCGACACGTTTCCTCTGATAAATGTCCTGAACAATGTACATAACTGTCTTTATCCACACCAGTCCACGACCACCAACACCAGAGCGATCAGCTCTTGCTTTATTATTAAATGATCATCGGTACATCCGCACTGTGTGGCTACGCTGGTCTATCAGAGTCACAAGGTGCGAACTGAAAATTCACACTATATAGTTTTCATGTGTATTGTTGTGACTTCTGCTGCCGTCATCCATCAGATTTTGGATGGGCAGTGTGACACAGTCAAGCATTCTACAGTAAGTACAGTATGTGTAAAGTTGTCACTTAGTCTGTCATCATTCAGTCAGTAAAATTACCACTTAATGTGTTATCGTTTAGTCAGTAAATATTTTACTGTTGAAGAGGTGAAGTCCTCGCTCAATATACGAGGTCACGGGACAATCTAAGTCACTCTCATCTAGATGTCACTTGCACTGCGGGACAACTGCTGGCTTCATCAGTCTTATACAAAGCAGGAAGGTATAAGGAGAGGAGGAGTTTGAGGTAATCAGTCCCTCAGCCTGGAGTCGATGTGTTCAGTCTATCAATCTTGTAGAATGTACAGCACAGGGCCGTAGCAGTGGCTTATACACTGTAGTCAGGTGAGGCGAAGTAGGAGGAGGCGGTGTCATAGTGGTACCATCCACTAGGCTAAGTAGGTCTTCGTCCAAAGCTACGGACCTCTTCTGTACTTTCTACAAGATTGATGGACTGAACATATCGACTCCAGGCCGAGGGACTGATTACCTCAAACTCCTTCTCTCCTTATAACATCCTGCTTTGTATAAGGCTGATGAAGCCACTGTGTGGCGAAACGTTTCTTCAATAAAGATTCCCATATGTGGCATAAATGTCTCAATTCTTCAACTTGTCGGTTTTCAAAACCATTCATCACACTGTGACAGACTGTCTGGTATGTGACTGTGACAGACTGCCAGGTATATGACTGTGACAGACTGCCAGGTATGTGACTGTGACAGACTGCCAGGTATGTGACTGCGACAAACTGCCAGGTATGTGACTGCGACAAACTGCCAGGTATGTGACTGACAGATTGCCAGGTATGTGACTGACAGACTGCCAGGTATGTGACTGACAGATTGCCTCCCCTTCTCCAAGTCCAGTATATCCTCTACTGGTTTAGCACTTTGGTCTGAATATAATGTTAATGTTTACTAACGTTCGTGCATTAACATGCACGAATAATGAATGATTACTCCAGAATATTGCTGTTGAGGTTCAACTGGGCATCAACAACATGTATGCTCACCCTGGGTATGGTCAAGGAGACTGCGTGAGCCACTCCTCTTATCACGAGCTGGAATCCAGAGACTTACACTCTGTAGAGGGAGGACAAGTTGAAATGAAGTGAGCAGGTCAGTGCAGCTGCGACCACAGACCTCTGCTACAACTCTGCCTGCACTTCAGGTCAGTGCAGCTGCGACAACAGACCCCTGCTACAACTCTGCCTGCACTTCAGGTCAGTGGAGCTGCGACAACAGACTCCTGCTACAACCCCGCCAGCAGCGTACATGGTTCACTACTAATGGGTATGGTGTGACTACCACCCACACCATGGGTATGGTGTGACTACCACCCACACCATGGGTATAGTGTGACTATCACCCATAACATGGGTATGGTGTGACTACCACCCACACCATGGGTATGGTGTGACTACCACCCACACCATGGGTATGGTGTGACTACCACCCACATCATGGGTATGGTTTGACTACCACCCACACCATGGGTATGGTGTGACTACCACCCACACCATGGGTATGGTGTGACTACCACCCACACCATGGGTATGGTGTGACTACCACCCACATCATGGGTATGGTTTGACTACCACCCACACCATGGGTATGGTGTGACTACCACCCACATCATGGGTATGGTTTGACTACCACCCACACCATGGGTATGGTGTGACTACCACCCACACCATGGGTATGGTGTGACTATCACCCACATGGGTATGGTGTGACTACCACCCACACCATGGGTATGGTGTGACTACCACCCACACCATGGGTATGGTGTGACTACCACCCACACCATGGGTATGGTTTGGCTACCACCCACACCATGGATATGGTTTGACTACCACCCACACCATGGGTATGGTGTGACTACCACCCACACCATGGGTATGGTGTGGCTACCACCCACACCATGGGTATGGTTTGACTACCACCCACACCATGGGTATGGTGTGACTACCACCCACACCATGGGTATGGTGAGAAATATCTTCATTATGCCCACCACTGTTAAACTGGGCATTAACGTCTTAACATACAAGAGGTTAATAAACCACTACCCTAAATTTTACAGCATAAAATGCACATTTATTCAATAATTGTGATTGAACAAAAATGTTTCACTTTTAACAGGAGATTCTAAAATATTTGCTATGTACATTTCTTAATATTTGAGGCCAATAAGAAGATTTTAAATTATTATTATAATCAAAAGGAAGATTTTAAAATATCAAATAAACATTTACTTAAGAATTAAGAAGGAAGAGAGACATGTTGTATTTTGAACAGAGATTCTACGTTACTTCCTATGTACATTATTAATGTCTGTCGGGGCAATAAGCAAGAAGATTTTAAAGCATTAATTGTATATTGAGTAAAAGTACAAGGAGAAAAGGCAAAAAAAAAATTATAATTCACTTTTGCATAGGCCTACTTTTGTTTTTTTTTTATTAATCACAAATAAAAGTCAGATCAAACAGTAATGTCCATTTATCAGTCAGTCTGGTATTTTTTTTTTATTTAGTACGGGCAGATCTGCATGACCCTGGTGGGTTTAGTGCTTAGTTTTGATTATAATAATAATTTATTTAGTACGAATAACACAAATCCAATTAAATAAACTTGATGTATTCTCATTTATCAGTCAGTTGTAATTACTGAGAGAGTAATTACTGCGGAAGATTGTTTTTACAAATGTGTGATATAGGTGTTAACTTGTGGGTGTTTATACCGTCGCTGCTTCGTTCACTGTAGTGTTGCTGTGGGTGTTTGTACCGTCGCTGCTTCGTTCACTGTAGTGTTGCTGTGGGTGTTTGTACCGTCGCTGCTTCGTTCACTGTAGTGTTGCTGTGGGTGTTTGTACCGTCGCTGCTTCGTTCACCGTAGTGTTGCTGTGGGTGTTTGTACCGTCGCTGCTTCGTTCACTGTAGTGTTGCTGTGGGTGTTTGTACCGTCGCTGCTTCGTTCACTGTAGTGTTGCTGTGGGTGTTTGTACCGTCGCTGCTTCGTTCACCGTAGTGTTGCTGTGGGTGTTTGTACCGTCGCTGCTTCGTTCACCGTAGTGTTGCTGTGGGTGTTTGTACCGTCGCTGCTTCGTTCACTGTAGTGTTGCTGTGGGTGTTTGTACCGTCGCTGCTTCGTTCACTGTAGTGTTGGTACAGCTGGACGCCGCTCAGAATGAGTTGTTGCAAGTCCATTCAAGGCAACGAATACTCTACCATTTGAACTTTGTAAAGACATTGAAAGTCTTTTGTCACAACGAAAAAAAAAAGAGTGCAATGGGGATCAACTATTTTTACCACAGAATATGGAGCTAAATTTTGCACAGGACTGACAAGCACTGGATGGAAGGACACGAGTACATCATCCACTCAAGACACCTTTATTGGATACATTTAGGTCCTGGGACCTTGGTCAGCTGGCCTGGTCTCCGACCGGGCTGCGGGGCCGATGACCCCCGAAATTCTCTCCAGGTATACTCTCCAGATATACCCTATAAAAAAAAAACTTGTATCCTTTCTGAAAAGGTATATACTGTCACTTGCATGGGATCAGAAACTCATTCATTTTCAGAAAATTTTGATCCTTCTAGCCGTATCAGTGAGAGATGTACAGTTGAAGACTGCTGAGAGTTCTGTCAATGAGGGAATTATTCCCTGGCCCATCCGTTTTCCAAGAAAATTATGTTTCAATTGGTTTTATGGAACAGCAATGTGGGATCTGTCTTTGACATATTTAAGAATTAATTTGCTGTTCCGCTCAAGCGCATCTTTATATTTGGGATCATCAGTGCCTGGCCCTGCTTCAAGCTTTTCTTGACAACCACCATGATAGAATTTGTCCACGATTACCATGACGTGCCCAGTGCATCTAAGTTTGTATAATTGGCATACCACACAGTAGGAGGCCTGTTCTTTGAAACTGTTTGTGAAAGCATGCGAGATGAAGCAGACTATGTCATCAGTGCACTTAATCAACATTCGCAAATATCCAGCAACCTTATCCACAGTATTCGTGATGTTATGGCAGGTAGCAACACAAGCTAGACACTAACAGAGCTCTCTTAGGTACACGACTCCAGCATGGAGAGGAAATCTACCATCACGTGGCTTGACAAACTACTTGAAAGTGAGGCCAAGTCTTTTGAGTTCCCTCTTCACAGGTTTGGTGTTGGCACTTGTAAGTATGTCACCGTGTCCTTCACTTATATCATTGTTTCATTTCAGGAACAGCTGTGATTCGATATGACACATAATACCGTATGCATGAACAAAGCGATTCAGTTCATCATTCAGTTTTCTCTATGGCCCAGCATTTGTTTCTGCATTGGCAGATTCATCACCAGCTGAAAGTGATGGAGCTATGGAATCAGGCGACCGTACATCAGCAACAAGCTCCTCAATTGTTTCAGCATCATCGTCAAGTGATGAGCAAGGAATGACACATCACCACGAAGTACTAGATACTTCCTAGAACTCAAATAAATATACTTCATCGGGGCGACATGCTACTGTATTATTTTTGTAGGCGGGAATTTTTTTGTGTGTGACTAACTGCCCACCAGTTAACATGTTGATGTAAGACTGCTGCTGTAAAGAAATTGTAAGATGCTTTCTATGTACATTAAGAACAATAAGAACACATATCAACAAAGCAGTAATTGTTATTCAAATATATTTTACATACTAAAAATATTAAGTATTACTAATGTAGTGTACACAAGTATTTTACACAGCGTACAGTCAGGTAGGGATACACACTAGGGATACATACTAGGGATACATACTAGGGATACACACTAGGGATACACACTAGGGATACACAATAGGGATACATACATCGCTTAACAGGCTCATCAAGGGACAAAATTTCGCTGGCATTCACTTTTAATCAATTTTTTTTTGTATGGTATCAGTCAAGTGGCTGTTTCCTTCAACCAACAATTTCTTCCGTCACACGACGCAGAGCGCTATCACATTAACTGCACCTACAGGAGCCAGTTACCACAACCTCCATTTCAAGTCGGACGACGTACTGTAGTGTACCAAGTGACACTTTTCACTGGTAACATTTCCATGGTATACACCATAAGAACCAGCAGACACCGCTGGACGCACCTTTGCCTAACTTGTTACACGGTAAGGTGCTCCAGAGGACGAAGGTCTCCTGGACTCTTGAAGAGAGCTGTGTGAAGCAGATACAGACCTTCCTGACTAGCCTTGAGTACACAGCAACACCAACAACACCAACAAACTCGGCGATAATTTTAAGCGATCTGAAAAGAAAGAAGAAAACGTTAACATGGTTCAACTTGTAAAAATGTGAATATTTTAGTGAGAGGCAGACGGATATACATGAAGACTAACTTGACAAAAAATATATAAAAGGTCTCAGTAATACCTATGAGGCCCAGCAACTGGACCTCAAGCACTCTCAAGAGGCCCAGGAGCTGGACCTCAAGCACTCTCAAGAGGCCCAGGAGCTGACGTGCAGCAGAAACTAACAGACAGATCTATATGAAACTCTACTACGCTATACACCAACAGCTTAAAAGTTTGGAAAGAAAAGCTTGAATTAAGGTGGGCTTATCTACCATCGGCCTATAATGAGACAATAGGCCAGACAAAATTTTTTCAAAATTTGTTGTGAGGTGTGAGATAAAAATGATTGTCTTCTAAGTGATACAGGGAAATTATGTAAAAAAAAATACAGGTTAGGTAAGGTTCGTCAGGAAACAGGACATGTATTTTCTGACGCCGCTCTAAGATGATGACCCGCCGTTCGAGTTTTTGGTCACCTGACCAAGGCCTTCCGCTGGCTTACCGGTCCACCCCTTTAAAATTATGTTCATAGTCTTTTAAATTTACATGATATAGTCTTAAGACAACACGAAATTCCTTAAAATTATATAAAGATAACAATATTTGACAAAAATAATATGGAAAAATGACGTTATTGACATATTTTATGTACGTTTTTACATTAAAAAATAAATCAATGCTTATTTTTAAGGCATCAAATATATGGTAAGCTTGAAGAATATTGAGTGAAGTAGACTGAGGACACAACTAAATATACCAGCAACAGTCAGTGTAACATTGTGACAAATATGATAATAATTACCATGCTGGATTTCAGAGAAAAGGCATTAAGTTACACCCACGAAAAAAAAGTCCTTTAAGTTACAATTTTAAAACGTTTTCGTTTGTGTTATAAGGAAGGAGGCATTATGTAATGAAGGAGCGTGTGTGTGGTGAAGCCTCCTGCACCGCACCTCCACTTATTAACGGTAATGAAGGAGCGTTGGTGTGGTGAAGCCTCCTGCACCGCACCTACACTTATTAATAAGTGTAGGTGCGGTGCAGAAGCCTCACTAATCGCCGTCACCGACACTACAGAACGCAACACTGGAAACTACAAAATTTCATAAACATTGGCATACTAGATACTACACTAGAGTGTCTACACTAGATACTACACTAGATAGTACACTAGAGTATCTACACTAGATACTACACTAGATACTACACTAGAGTATCTACAGTAGATACTACACTAGATACTACACTAGAGTATCTACATTAGATACTACACTAGATACTACACTAGAGTATCTACACTAGATACTACACTAGATACTACACTAGATACTACACTACAGTATCTACACTAGATACTACACTAGAGTATCTACACTAGATACTACACTAGATACTACACTAGATACTACACTACAGTATCTACACTAGATACTACACTAGATACTACACTAGAGTATCTACACTAGATACTACACTAGAGTATCTACACTAGATACTACACTAGATACTACACTAGAGTATCTACACAAGATACTACACTACAGTATCTACACTAGATACTACACTAGAGTATCTACACTAGATACTACACTAGAGTATCTACACAAGATACTACACTACAGTATCTACACTAGATACTACACAAGAGTATCTACACTAGATACTACACTAGAGTATGTACACTAGATACTACACTAGATACAACACTAGAGTATCTACACTAGATACTACACTAGATACTACACTAGAGTATCTACACAATATACTACACTACAGTATCTACACTAGATACTACACTAGAGTATCTACACTAGATACTACACTAGAGTATGTACACTAGATACAACACTAGAGCATGTACACTAGATACTAGACTAGAGTATCTACACTAGATACTACACTAGAGTATGTACAATAGATACTACACTACAGTATCTACACTAGATACTACACTAGAGTATCTACACTAGATACTACACTAGAGTATGTACACTAGATACAACACTAGAGCATGTACACTAGATGCTAGACTAGAGTATCTACACTAGATACTACACTAGAGTATCTACACTAGATACTACACTAGAGTATGTACACTAGATACTACACTAGAGTATCTACACTAGATACTACAATAGAATATGTACACTAGATACTACACTAGAGTATGTACACTAGATACTACACTAGAGTATCTACACTAGATACTACACTAGAATATGTACACTAGATACTACAACTAAGTATCTACACTAGATACTACAATAGAATATGTACACTAGATACTACACTAGAATATGTACACTAGATACTACACTAGAGTATCTACATTAGATACTACACTAGAATATGTACACTAGATACTACACTAGAATATGTACACTAGATACTACACTAGAGTATCTACACTAGATACTACACTAGAATATGTACACTAGATACTACCCTAGAATATGTACACTAGATACTACACTAGAGTATCTACACTAGATACTACACTAGAATATGTACACTTGATACTACACTAGAGTATCTACACTAGATACTACACTAGAATATGTACACTAGATACTACACTAGAGTATCTACACTAGACACTACACTAGAGTATCTACACTAGATACTACACTAGAGTATCTACACTAGATACTACACTAGAGTATCTACACTACATACTACACTAGAGTATCTACACTAGATACTACACTAGAGTATCTACACTACAAAACTACACTAGATTATCTACACTAATACTACACTAGAGTATCTACACTACATACTACACTAGAGTATCTACACTAGATACTACACTAGAGTATCTACACTACATACTACACTAGAGTATCTACACACATACTACACTAGAGTATCTACACTACATACTACACTAGAGTATCTACACTACATACTACACTAGAGTATCTACACAACATACTACACTAGAATATCTACACTACATACTACACTAGAGTATCTACACTAGATACTACACTAGAGTATCTACACTACATACTACACTAGAGTATCTACACTACATACTACACTAGAGTATCTACACTACATACTACACTAGAGTATCTACACTACATACTACACTAGAGTATCTACACTACATACTACACTAGAGTATCTACACTACATACTACACTAGAGTATCTACACTACATACTACACTAGAGTATCTACACTAGATACTACACTAGAGTATCTACACTAGATAATACACTAGAGTATCTGCACTAGATAGTACACTAGAGTATCTACACTAGATACTACACTAGAGTATCTACACTACATACTACACTAGAGTATCTACACTACATACTACACTAGAGTAATCAACTAGATGCTACACTAGAGTATCTACACTAGATACTACACTAGAGTATCTACACTAGATTCTACACTAGAGTATCTACACTAGATACTACACAAAAGTATCCCACACTAGATACTACACTAGAAGTATCTACACTAGATTCTACACAGAGTATCTACACTAGATACTACACTAGAGTATCTACACTAGATACTACACTAGAGTATCTACACTAGATACTACACTAGAGTATCTACACTAGATTCTACACTAGAGTATCTACACTAGATACTACACAAGAGTATCTACACTACATACTACACCAGAGTATCTACACTAGATACTACACTAGAATATGTACACTAGATACTACACTAGAGTATCTACACTACATACTACACTAGAGTATCTACACTAGATACTACACTAAGTAATACTACACATAGATACTACACTAGAGTATCTACACTACATACTACACTAGAGTATCTACACTAGATACTACACTAGAGTATCTACACTAGATGCTACACTAGAGTATCTACATTAGATACTACACTAGAGTATCTACACTACATACTACACTAGAGTATCTACACTAGATACTACACTAGAGTATCTACACTACATACTACACTAGAGTATCTACACTAGATACTACACTAGAGTATCTACACTACATACTACACTAGAGTATCTACACTACATACTACACTAGAGTATCTACACTAGATACTACACTAGAGTATCTACACTAGATACTACACTAGAGTATCTACACTACATACTACACTAGATGCTACAATAGAGTATCTACACTAGATACTACACTAGAGTATCTACACTACATACTACACTAGAGTATGTACACTAGATGCTACACTAGAGTATCTACACTAGATACTACACTAGAGTATCTACACAAGATACTACACTAGAGTATCTACTAGTACTACCTAGAGTACTACACTACATACTACACAGAGTATCTACACTAGATCTACACTAGAGTATCTACACTAAAATCTACACTAGAGTATCTACACTACGATACTACACTAGAGTATCTACACTACAGTATCTACACTACAGTATCTACACTACAGTATCTACACTACAGTATCTACACTACAGTATCTATACTACACTACAGTATCTACACTAATACACTACAGTATCTACACTACATATCTACACTACAGTATCTACACTACAGTATCTACACTACATACTACACACATACACACTACATACCTACAGTATCTACACTACAGTATCTACACTACATACTACATTACAGTATCTACACTACACACTACACTACAGTATATACACTATACTACACACAGTATCTACACTACATACTACACTACAGTATCTACACTACAGTATCTACACTACAGTATCTACACTACAGTATACTACAAACACCTACATATCTACACTACAGTATCTACACTACAGTATCTACACTACAGTAATCTACACTACAGTATCTAACACTACAAGTATCTACACTACAGTATCTACACTACAATATCTACACTACAGTACTACACTACATATCTACACATAACTCATATCTACACTACAGTATCTACACTACATACTACACTACAATATCTACACTACATA